TTAGGATAGGAAGTTCTCGAACTGTGGGCCACTATCTTGTTTTGTGTCCTCTATCAAAAATTCTCCGCGATAAAATTAAAGGAAATATAAGGATATCGATCAACTTACTTCATTCCATAGCTTCCCATGTGCAAGGCGAGGAAACAATGGTGCTTTAGGATTCTTAAATGAAAGTGGATTTGAAACAGCAATAAGTTTGGGCTGCATATTCAATTACTCCACATAGTTTAGACTAGCAGATAAAGTCAACATATAAACATATAATCATGGTTACATTGGACAAGAAATGAAGTCGAAACAAATTAAGACTAAATTATTTTTTAAATACAGGAAGCAAGGAGAGAGAACAAACATTTGAAAGACCTCCTGAAAATAAGGCAAATGAGAAGTCAGCTCGCTGATTGATCAACTCGAATACCAAAGAAGCTTTTCCTGTCCTCGCATAATTTGGATTTGAGTAGTTTGCATAATTGAACTGGAAAATAGATTGTTAAGGAAGAAATTCATGATCATTGTTTCATTTCAAGCATTATAAAGGTATATATTTGACATTTACGTAAAGGTCAATATTACAAGTTAAGTTCTGAATACCTTTATAGGGCTCGAGCAGATTAATGGAGTTTGGACCTTTTTATTTGAACCAGGACAGGGTGATGAGCTGCCACGAAGAAACAAAGTTCTTTCAGTTTTGTTACTAGTATCACTTTCACCATCATACTGAAATCATGATCATTGGATAGAAACTAAACAAGCTAAAGAAGAATATTATAACCTTTCACATTTACTTAGAGCTATGCACATAACCAGATTTTTGTATACTAATTCATGGAACAAAGAGATGTCACATACTTAAACTTCGCAGGAGAAAACACTGCTATCCAATCATCTGCTGAGGGTTCAGGATGTAAAAACTTGATCGTCACCCAATCGGTATCCTCGCCCTGACAGTATACAATTGAAACAGAATCAACAAATAAACAATAACTCAGACAAAATGACGGATTGAAAAATTAGATAAGTCAACACAGAAAGTAAGAAGCAAGTTACAAAGAATCAACAAATAGTCAAGCAAATTATATCCCTGATATTCTCGCACTAGAAATATAAAATTGAAACAGAATCAATAAACAAATATAGAATATCTCGGCAAAGTAACCATTTCGTAACGAGGCAGATGAAAAATCGGATGCGAATAGAAATGCTAGTCAGAACAGTAATTTCTAAACTCAGACGTGAAAATATCTCATACACTTAAAATTGCACTGTTTGAAAGTAATATAAAAATCAACGCAGAAGGTAAGATCTAAGAAGAATCTCATGAATAATCGACGAATATTAATCAAGAAAGCTGAAATATCTGAAAACAGGATCAATAAATAAACAAAAATTTAATCAAGAAAGCTGAAATATCTCCGAAAAGCACAATCCAGCTAAAAGTGTACACAGTAATCACTCCGTATCGATGTAGATGAAAAAATAAATGAGAACAGAAATATCGGTTAAGAATATTTTCCGAATAGAAATGCTAGTCAGAACCGTAATTTCTAAACTCAGACATGCAAATATCTCATACACTTATATTGAACTGTTTGAAAGTAATATAAAAATCAACGCAGAAGGTAAGATCTAAGAAGAATCTCATGAATAATCAACGAATATTTCCGGTATTCTCGCCCTGGAAACATTAAATTGAAACAGGATCAATAAATAAACAAAAAATTAATCAAGAAAGCTGAAAGATCTCCGAAAAGCACAATCCAGCTAATAGTGTACACAGTAATCACTCCGTATCGATGTAGATGAAAAAATAAATGAGAACAGAAATATCGGTTAAGAATATTTTCCAAATTCATATATGCAAACTGAATCGAATAAAGTAAAAATTAGTCAACACGGCAAGTAAGAAGAACATTCAGAACTATTGATATAAGCAAAATCATACAGGAGTAAACAATTGCATAATAAACAACAGAAAACGGCATGAGAAAAACAGCTGAGTAGAGATACTTACATTGAGGCCTAAAACAAGCGGCGAGGCTTTGATGTAGGCGTTGTTTCGGAGTGCAACAGTAGCCTTGTATACATCAATTTTGGAGAGCGGCTGGTGTTCATCGAGCCGAATCCGATTACTATGAGCGGGGAATCCGATACAGAGGAGAACGAGAGTGATGAAATGAACGTTTCGAATTCGGAGGCTCTCCGCCATGGCAGAAACTTCGAGGTTTCGAATTGAAGTTTGGCCGTCGGATTTAACAAGGCCGGGGCGGGGACCGAAGGAAGTGATGCCGATTGGATTCCTGAAAATCCTCCTAGTTTTTATAGTCGAATGTGTATACGCGCTATAACAACTCGCGTCACCAATTATTTCTCCAAAATATGAAATTTCGGAATAAATCAAAACAATATTTTCTTTATATAGACGGAATTAATAAAAATATTTTAAAAAAAATAATCATAAACTTTTCCGGTTTCAATAATATCATTAATTTTTTAAAAAGTTTAATACTCTATTTTAAAAATACCTTTTATTTTTTAAAATATAAAATAAATATTATTAAATTTTCAAAAGTGAGTTAATGGTTTAAAACTTTTTTAAAAATTTTAAAAACACTTATAAACTTTTTTTTTTTTTAAATAATGAAAAAAACATTTTAACTTAATAATACATTTTAACATTACTCAGGCATATACGGTTAAATTAAATTATATGTGGTATTTGAATTGAAAAACTATATTATATTAAAAAGATATAATTTTAATTGAGATAATACATGTCAAGATTTTGCATCTCTTGTAATTTATAGAAGGAGTTTTGTTTTTTAGTACAAAAAGGTGTACATAGATTTTAATTGAGACCATATATGTAAGGTAATTAGGTACTTACTTTTTCAAATTTGTCTCTATCTATATATTTCAAACTCTAATAACTTATTTTATACTCAAAATATTTGTATACAAAACTTAGTTCTATCTTTTATATATAAGTTTAAAGTTTGGTTATTTTAGTTTAATTAAAATCTTAGTATATAATTTTTTTTGGCTTTTAAACTTTTAATCTTCCTATAGAGAACTAACTCAATCTGTAACAAAACATTTGATTTTTAAAATTTAAATTATACAAAACACTCATTAAATATAAAAATAAAAGTTTCCACTTCTAGACTGTTAATTCGGTATACAATTTTTAAGGCTAAAAAACAAATTGCTATAATGGTTTGGTCCCCATATGCAGTTTCTGAATGCGACCGTCAAAATAGCCTCTCCATTTCCGTCTCATCTCTCTCATTTTCTATTCTTGATTGATGCCTTCCATTTTTAAATTAAAAGCTATATATATTTCATTTTTCAAATTCAAAAAAATAGCAATCACATTTTAAATGGTTGAAATTTGTTTTAATCTAATTGATTATACGGACTAGACAAGAAATGGGAGTAAATTAACAATAATTTTGAAAACAAAATTAGATTAAAAATATAATAATAGAAGAATAAAACGTACAAAATAACCACGTGACACCATTGGTGCCGACAAACAAAGAGTGATGGAGAAGTTGAATATTCAACATCGCATTAATTATAAACGAAAATTTGGAGCTTAGTCTACTGCATTCCTAACATTTATATTCAATTTCCTAAGCTAACCTTCAAACTTTGAGTTTATTAATATCCTCAATCACAACGTACTTCCTTTTAAATTTCGTATCTTCACACTTATCAATATATTAATATCTTCAATCACAACGTACTTCTTTTTAAATTTCGTATCTTCACACTTATCAATAGTGAGGTCATACAATCCCGTCATTAAAATAAAATTTTGATGCCATTCATTCATTTAAAAAGTTGTAAGTTTTTAGCATATTGGTGGGCAAAGTAAAGTGGAATATTGCGAGAACAAATTTTTTAAAGAAATAAAAGGTGTGATTTATAAATGGAGAAGATCGGAGTGTTGCACGAAGATCGAGATGGTTGAAATTTGAAAGGGAAATACGAAGCTTTTTTACGATAATGCTTTATCAACCTAATATTCTATTCTATATTCCAAAAGGACCAGTACCAATTTTAAAATTGGATACCATGAATAAAAGGCCTTTTAATTTCCAAGAATAAAACTAAATGCCGCATTTACTCAAAAATAATAATAATAATAATAATAATAATAATAATAATAATAATAATAATAATAATAATAATAATAATAATAATAATAATCATAATAATAATAATAATGCTCCATCACCGTTTTATTATTCGGTTTAAACGGTATTGTGATAATACTAAATATAAAAGCGTTGAGTTTCTCCTAGTAATAAAACTATGGGCTGTTTACTTTTAATAATAGTGTTTTTTCTTTTTTAGGATTTCAACAATATTATCTATCTTTACATAATTTTATATATTTTAAAATACAGTTATTAGTATTTTGCAGAGTGCAGCATATAGGATATTTAGAGCACCAATTATTATATTCTCTTTTAATTATTTTAATGACATTTTAATTGGACGAGTAGAATTTGAATTAGCCCCTTAATTTCAAGAATGAAAATTTAATATAAATATAATTCAAAACCACGTGCATGCGATATTAGATAGAAATCAAATAGCAAGTATAAAATAGTTATTATATAAAACCTCAAGGTTTTTAAAAAATATCCTAACTGAAACTCTTCAAAGTCGGGACCAAAATAAAATTTAAAAAACGGAATAAAGTTTATTCTATTCGTTCATTTAACTTTAGCAATTTCTGGGAAAAAAATAAACAATTAATTGTTTACTTCCGATTAGCGCAATTAAATTCATTATAATTTTGCAGGATTGGAAAATTTCAAATTACGAAATATGCATGATTTAACACATGAAAACTTCCTTCAAAGTATCGATTTAAAAAAAAAAAAAAAAAAAAAAAAAAAAAAAAAACTTTGTCGGTTATCCAGAACTATCTCCCAGTACCGGATGACCTTTTTCTCTCTTTTAAATAATTTGAAAACCTAAAAAGAAAATAAGGGAAAATAAAATTGTATACTAAAATTACATTTATATCCATAAATAAAACTCTAATTACAGCGCTGTTACGATTTTATACAGTACCCACGACGTTGGCGTCCTCAACCTCTTCTACAGCATTAAACATGCCGCCGCCGGCGTTGTCAACCTCCGCATCCTGCCACCGCTGAACGGCTGTACACTCCTCTTTATGCCGAACTTTCCAGTCCTGAGCTTGGCATCCTCTTGAACAGTAATTTACAGTGCCACAAATTGAACACCGCCGGAACTCGTGCGGCCGAGTCTCCGGCCGACCACATCCTCCGTGCGAGCAAAGTCTCAGCCCCACACGTGCAGCCACTCCACGTTCCGATTCGAACCATTCTCTCAAAAACAGGTTCACCGGATGTGGCTCCGTCGCAGGAAAGTCACAGCCGAAATCGCTCAACAATGAACAACGCGTCGCCGTCAAATCCGGGAGGTTGCCGAACTGGTGGTGGCGCTGTTGCCGTACCCTCGAGGAGGAGAGTAGAACGGCAGCAAGCTCACGGGCGTTGGCTTGGATGAGAAGGCGGCGGCCTTCGTCTGTGTTCCGTCGCACACCGTAACCGTCTTGAAGGCAGTGGCCAAGTTCTCGAAGTGCGTCCACATGGCCGAGGAAAGCGGCTCGAGCACAGAGGGCTACACCTGCCTGGAGATCCTTGTCGCTCTTAGAGCCACCGCTGCCGTTGAATTGAATGACGGCGAGAGAGTATAGCGCCGGAGCGTGAGATTTAATCGCTGCTTTAGCCATTAAAGAAGCTCCACTCCCTCGATTTCTCAAGCAATAAAATCGGATCTACAGGGGAAAAAACAGAGATATCATCATTCCCCATCCCCACTCCAAATACAGAGTATCAATTTCTTCAATATTTTTAAAACAAAGGAACAAAAAGAACAAACCATTCCGAGCGTGTAACTCGCTTCCGAGTTACCGGCGTCAACGCAGCGCTTGAGAAAACGGTGAGCGGAATCGCACCATTTTTCCATTCTAACTGCAAATGCCTTCGGTCCGGCCTTAGACAGAACCAAAGGATGAAGAACCAAGCGATTCAACCTCTTGCATCTGCAAAATCATCCAAAAAGCGACGAAAAATTAACAAACGCCAACGGAATCGAAAGGGATAAAAAGAAAACAGAAACCGGAAAAGAGAAAGGAAAGAAGCATGTAATTACGTCAAGAGAGGGTTGAGAAGGTCGGAAGGGGAAGAGGCGGAGGAGGCGAGGCGGCAAAGGAGGTGTATAAGGAGATCGTCCGGCAAGACATCAAAGAGATCGGATTCTGCGGCGAAATTGCGGCATGTTCTTGGCCTCTTGGCAGAAATCATGTTGCAGTGTTGGGTCCGGTTACATGCGTTGAGAGTAGAGTTTATGGAGTGTGGTACGGCGGTGCGCGGCGGTGTTTTGTATGCCTCTGGTACGGGAAATCGGAAATGGTAACCGTTCGGCTTCCTCTTTTTCGCAATTCTTTTTTGTGTGCGTTCGGTAAAGACGAATTCCAACGAGGGGCGGTTTTTATATACACACCCAATCCACCATTTCATTGCCTTGCGGGTGGGACCTCCACTTCTTATCTCAAAACAATATATTTATTCATTTCTCTTTTAAATTTTGAAACGTACAAACCTGCACTGCGCTTTTTTCGTTTTTTTTTTTTTAAAGGTGAAATCTGTCAATTTGATTTTCAAAAATAAAAAACAAAAAATTAAATTATTTTCTGATCAAATCAGGCGTTAGGCGATTCAACTTTCAATTATCTAAACAAATTTTAATTATGACCTTAATTGAAAAGTTTTTAAATTTAAATTTAAAAACAAAAATGGACGATTAATAGAGGCAACTAGTCTCAACAACTTAGTCAAACCTTGCACCTTTTTTTTTAATATTTTACCCACCAAAATAACTTATTTTTCTCACATCTTTTAATTCAATCCTAATCCTTACTGCATTTGACACACTTAATCATATTTTAATTATATCCAAAGTCTCATCATAGAAATTAAATGTAAATATTTATAGTCACAAAAAAGAAATAAAAACATGTGTTTATAGTCTGATTTGATAGGGCAGTGAGGTGGGAGAATGAGGCCATATTTAAATGAATACTATTTATTTATTGAGAAAATGAAGAGTTAAAGAAAATTGGTGGGCGAGGAAGGACGGGAATTCCCTGCACCGACTTCTTCCAATCCATTTCTTCACAAATTTAGAAAACTACGTTACCCAATTATGGTAATTAGCCTCACAATTCCCGCCTTTTAAGTAATCCAGGATTTTATTCTATAATACCATACCCCTTTTATTCTCTCTTTTTATTTATTTATTTATATACTTTCATTACCATAATTTCTTTTTTATTTTTATTTTTTTAAAGAAATTTGTTCTTTTAGCAACTTTGAATTTAAATACTTACCATTTAAGTTAATGTCTAATATTTTTACTTTTTAACCTATATTTATCTTTACAATATTTAAGCTTCCGCTTATTTCTTCTCTTTTATTTAATTTTAATTCAAAATCTAATTATCGCCCATCAAAGACTTTGAAAAACAACTTCAGTGTTTAAATATATAAATATCAGATCAAAATTATTCAAGTATGTCATTTTAGTCCTTGTATTTATAAAGAAACAGAAAATTGACTGGGCTTTTTAGCTGCATACGTGGCTTGCTGATTAGGAAAAAAATTGTCCAACTGGATTTCCCCTCTCCCTCTCACTCGCAAACCAGTCCAAATCAACCTCAGACTTCTTCTCCGGCGCGCAAGGTCTCGACGGTGTTCAAACAAAATTTACAGCGACTATAAGATGGAGAGGGGAAATCCGACTTGGACAATTTGTTGCGGAATCAGCAAGCCACGCAAGCAGCCAAAAAGTCCAGTCAACTTTCGTTTGTTTTTAAGGCGTTTGCTGATGGCGAGAGACTTTTAAACAAATTAAAACTAAATGCATGTATTCATACAAATTAGAGACTAAAAGTATAATTTTCTCTAAACATCAATTAATTCCTTCCATAAAAAAATAGGAGCCATTAATTAGATGTTAATATTACAAAAAAGAAATAACATAATTTGAGAACATTTTTTAAAAGAAAAATAATGTATTTCTTTAAAATTAGGGGGAAAAAAACGTAAGCATAGTGAAATGCTTGGAAAGTAGGTTTTAATTTATTAATTTAATGGCGAAGTTTAATATGATTACATAAGGATGAATTTGAAGATGTGGGAGTTGGTGGAACACATATCCTCTTCTCTTGTTTTAATTATTATTATTATTTTTTTTTTAAATTCCTACCCGTCCGTTTTCACCAAAAAGAGATGAATGAATTGAAAGCCTTTTGTTTGGTACAAAACGTGTCCGGCGTTGCACCTTTTCCCCCGTACAGTTCCCGGGAAAACGAACTTAAATTAAATTCACTTATTTCCTTTTTATTTCAAATATTATTGAATTTTAAATTTATTAATGAATTAAAATACAAATACATTTTCAAATTTTAGATGGTGAAGAGATTAAATTGTTTTTTGATAATTCAAAATTTATCTATATAAAAAAATAAAATATTGTCAAAATTTGCAAATTATAATTTCCTTTTTTAAAAAACAAGAATAATCAAACAGGTTTATTAATTTTTATTAATTCTGTGAAGCGTTAACAAATATTAAATAAAAATTGGAATAAAGAAATGAAGCAAAACCAATCTAATCGATGAATTTGAATTCAACAGTCGATGAAAACATTAAAGACGGAGTTGTTGAATTAAAGCAAAATAATTCTAAAATTAATTATAGTTTACATTTTAATAAGTTGAATTCTTATCTTAAAATTAAAAAAAAAAAAAAAAAAAAAAAAAAAAAAAAAAAAAAAAAAAAAAAA